CTATCTATCTATCTATCTATCTATCTATCTATCTATCTATCTATCTATCTATCTATCTATCTATATCCCTCTATCTATCTACCTACCTACCTACACACTCTCTCTCTCTCCCCACCTACCTACTGTATTTCTTTATTTCTCTATTTTTTCTCTCCCTCTCTATCCCTACTTACTGTATTTCTCTGTCTTTCTCTCCCTCTCTATCCCTACATCCACCTACCTACTTTTTAAAAATTTGCCTCTTCAAAACCTTGGTGTGTCTTATACTCCAGTGCATCTTATACTCCAAAAAATAGGATACCTTATGCTGTCAGGCTCAAAATTTTGGGCTTAGACAATTTAGAACTACACCGCCTTTGATCTGACCTAAGGGTTGTACACAAAATTATCTGCTACAAGTTCCTACCTGTCAATGACTACTTCAGCTTCAACCGCAATAATACACGAGCACACCCTAGATACAAACTCAAGGTAAACCGTTCCAAATTCGATTGCAGAAAATATGATTTCAGCACCAGAGTGGTCAATACTGAAATGCGTTCCTTAACTCAGTGGTTTCTTCCCCAAACCTCCACAATTTTAACCTTAGACTGTCTACTGTTGACCTCACCCCACTCCTAAGAGGTCAGTAGAGGTGTGCATAAGCGCACCAGTGTGCCTAACATCCCTGTCCTACTGTCCCCATTTATTTGTCCCTATTTCCTGTGTTCTTATTCATGATTATTCTTACTCCTGTTATCTTGTACATGAGTGACAAACTAAATAAATAAATAAAATAAACTATTAAGGCAGAAAACACATCCCAACCATGTTTGCTGGGGCTAACTACCATCTTTTATCAGCCAACAAATCCACTCTCTCCTTGTGGTGATCAGGTTACCCAACAATCAAGACTCCAACAGCTATCGTTTGGTCAAGATGGGAACCCACCCTGCACATTAAAAAACAGGCAGAATCCCAATCACCCCATTATGGCCTTCATCTGGGCTTTTTTTGATCATATCTGAGGACAGAGGTGGTATTCTACTGGTTCGGACCAGTTCACCCGAACCCACCCTGGCTCTACGGCATCCCATTTAGGCCATTTTTAACCAAAAGCACATGCATGGAAGGCTTAGCGCATGTGTGGAGATGGTGCGCATGAGGGCACACTCACATTTGCGAACTAGTAGGGAAGATAAGTAAATACCACCCCTGCCTGAGGACAACTCTGGTTAATAGAGAAACTAGTTTTGGAGAATGCTTTTGGTACCTTTTGTCTCTATAAATCACTGCTTGAAACAAACCATAGCATAAATTTCCTGATTAAAGATAAATTTTATGACTTATCTGAACCTTTTTGAGGGATTCTCGATATAGCTGTGAAGCAGATTTGCCTTCTTCTGAGGGATCCACGGGATATTTCAAGACGCTGGGGTCTTCCTTGACTTCCCATACTCTCTTCCTGATATTTTTAATAAAATACCAGGCATTGTCATTTTCCTGAAAAAATTCGTTCAATTTGAGACCAAACTTTCTGATATATTCACGGATAATCCTGGGAACAGGAAAGGAAAAAGAGTGAAAGGGAAAAATATAGAATGATGCATAGTTCTGTGCAGAAGATAGAACTGAAAAGCATTGTATCTGATTATCAAGAGAATGATGGTGCAAATGTGAAGGTAAAATAATTATTCTGCCATCATTTCTGGAGTGTCACTATCTTGCTTTCACTTTGCTTTACATATAGCACACATTTAGCCAGAATTTCCACTTTCAACACAGCTTTTTCCCTCCGTAAAAAAAAGAAAGAGCTACCAATTGAGAAGAGGGGAGAAAAATAGCAAAGAAAAACAGCAACAAATCTCAAATTGCTTGATAAACTCTTACAAGTCATTTGTTTTGCCAAAATCATTTGGGCTTATTTTTCTCAGATGAATAGATAACTTGGAAGAAAGATAAGATCAAACGGAATGATTCCAATCCAAATTAAACTTGATTTATTCCCAATTATTTGCCCTGGTTTCTAGGATTTTTTTTTTGACTCTTCACTGGAGTCTACAGTCTTAGGATTTCCTAGTAGTCTCCCATCCAAGTACTAAGCAGCATCAGGTTAGGCGTGCTTAGCTTTTTGAAACCCAAGCTAGATGTTTCCACCTAATTTGTCCTCTTAATTCTAAAGGAAATTAGCTTAACCAACCCTGTGAAAGCTCCAGCAGCAATACTCCATTCCATGCCTCATCACGTTCGTCCTGTTCACTCAGTATAAATTGCTGTAGGCTCTGTTGTCAAGTTTTAAATGGCTACTGAACCAGCCTTACAAATATCTGGAGTTTAATGCTGGCTGGTGTTCCCAGAGTCTAAAATAGCAATGATGTTTCGGGACATACCTCCACGACCCTCCAGGCTTCTTAGTATGCAAGGAGAAGAGATAAGTAAACACGATCACCTGACATCTCACCTGTGTCCCTCAGGGATACGCATGGGTCCCAGATTGGCATACCAGCCTTCTATTTCATTTCGATACGTGGTCACTCGTCCTCCTGCACGTTCACTAGCTTCAAGAACTGTCACCTGGAGGCAAATAGAAAAGCCATTGCATCATTTTGACAATTTTCTTATTATAACTTCTCTGCTCGGCTGCTTTGTGACTTATTTTGGGGAGGCTATTTCTTCATAGCATGATTGATTTGGTTTTGAGATGTCAGTATTGTACGGCTATTGGCACCTCTTCCAGAGGTAGTATTCACTTACCTTCCTTCCTACCGGTTCGCAAATATGAGCATGTGCGCATGCGCTTAGCCTTCCGTGCATGCACTTTGGCTGAAAAAAAGTTCCTAAATGGGATGGCATAGAGCCAGGGCAGGTGGGCCAACTATGATATCCACTGCCGGTTCAGGTGAACTGGTCCGAACCAGCAGAATAGCACCATTGACCTCTTCCCTTCCCTAAGGTGTTGTGGCTCGCCAGTGGCCAGCGGATCTGGCAGCAGATTCAGACAGTGAGGAGGTTGGGGAAGAACATGGGCCAGTCCTGGAGTCTGGGGAAGGTTCTGATGAAGGGTCTGTGTCAGAGGCAGAGTTGGGGCCAGGGCCGCCCGACAGTTATCAGCTGCCTTTAGAGTTGGACATCAGTGGGGAGAAGAACAGCTAGAGCCTGTTCCCAATGTGCGCATGCGCAGAGTTGCCAGACGAAGGGAACAGCTAAAGAACAGGGGTCGACTTGGGAGTAAGACCACAGGTGAACGATGAATGGCCCCTCCCAGAGGAGCGAAAGGGGAGTGGAGTTTGCAGGAGACAATTAGTTTGCTTAATTGATTTGTGACTCTCCGAGACTCCTTGCCATGTTTTGCAGGGTTCCACCACAAAACCGTGGTAGACTAAAGCGCGCTCAATGAAAGCACGTACGTGACATCATCACAGCGCGACGAAAACAGCACACTGTGAGCGGTAAACTTAAAATTAACACGTAAATCTAAACCTAACCCCCCCAAGCCTAACCCTAAACCTAACCCTAAGCCTAACCCTTAACCTAACCCTAAACCTAACCCTATACCTAACCCTTAACCTAACACTAAACCTAACGCTAACCCTTAACCTAACCCTAAACCTAACCCTAACGCTTAACGTAACCCTAACCCTAACCCTAACCCTAACCCTTAACTTAACCCTAACCCTAACCCTAACCCTTACCTTTATGTGAATCGGCTTGCTTTAAAAGTGCTTTTTAAAGCGCCCTTTTTTCTCCGCGGTCGTATTTGTCGCACTGCTGATGATGTCAGGTACGCGCTTTAATCGGGCGCGCTTTAGTGGACCGCGGTTTTGACGGGTCACGGTTTTGCAGATATGAGCCTGTCAGCTCTCCAAGCCAGATAAGGTCTGTGACTATAAATCCTCCCTTGAAAGTCTTTACTGGACGTGAATGAGCAGAATTCACAGTAAATTAATAAAAGGGGGTTTTGTCGGGACCAGGAGTTTGCTTCATGCTCCTGGGAAGCCTAGGTCAGAACATAAGGTTCCTTACCAGAAGCTGGCATTTTTCTATGGTTCCTGCTCTTTTCAACATTTGCCATCTTTCCCTTCTGACTCCCAGAGAGCTAGTTCTCACTAGTTTGAGGCACCTTCCCCCAATAGAGTCCCAGCAGTTCAAATAGCAGAACTTCAATGTTGAAATGTGTTATGCTTGACGATTATTGGAAGTTCTATCACATGGATTTGCTTTCCACCCTTATTTTGTGCAGGGAATATTTTGTGTGATATGGCATTTCATCTTCAGATATCTCACTTCAGATATCTCATACTGTATGTCCTAGAATCTATTCTTTGTAATCTATTCTTTGTAATCAGGAGAATTTGTTTTCCTTGTTTTAATCTATTTAAACTTTATTTAGTAACCTTTTATTTATATTGAAAAATATTCTAAACAGCGTGATGACAGTTGCAGACGCTGTGCAATAGAAACTGAGTTTCTTCCTCCTGTGAAGTTCACAGTCCACATCAAGATGGATCTGTGCAGCCACAAAAAACAGGTTCTATGCTAAAACCTCAAATTCAGTCACAAGATTCAATGCCAGGCTGGGGAATTCTGGGGGTTGAAGTCCATAAGTCTTAAAGTTCCCAAGTTTGAACACCCCTGCTCTATGCGGTCAGATCACTTTCTGGTCAAAATGTATTATCCTGGATCTCTGCTAAGTAGGATGCCCTATTTGAATGGTCTGTGTCTACCTCAGTGTCTAATGGGTCCACTGGGGTTCTATAGGATGTTTGAGGATTGCCATTTCCTGACAATCAGTTGGACAGCTGGGTCTTGCACTTTGTGAATTCCTAGAGATGGGAGGGCAAAGGATAAGATTGCCCCTTTGCAGTCTCTCTCCAGTTTCTTAGGCCAAGCAATTCTTTCATTTTCCAGGTTCCTACAGGAATGAAGCAACTACAGTGGTAGGGTTCAAAACATTTTACTACCGATTCTGTGGGTTTGGCTTGGTGGGTGTGGCAAGGGAAGAATACTGCAAATCCCCATTCCCTCTCCATTCCTGGGGGAAGGTTACTGCAAAATCTCCATTCCCTCCCCACCCCACTAACCTACTTTCCAGCTCCGTTCTCCTGTGCAGGGCAACAAAAGAAGACCCAGCCAATCAGCTGGGACTCGGGAGGCAGAGAATAGATGGGGGTGTGGCCAGCCAGAGGTAGTATTTGCCTACTCAAAATTTCCACTACTGGTTCACCAGAACTGGTCAGAACCAGCTGAATACCACCTCTGACTGAAGACACTTAGAGCATAAATAGCACAAAAGTGTTATTTAACACTTGAGTCACTGCCACTAAGAACAGCAGCTCATTAATACTTCTTTGTGCTTATTGCATCTGGAATTTTCTGATTGATAACCCATTCAGAGTGACCCAACCCCTTTTTACAAAAAATGTGGTTACAACAGGGCACCTGCAATGGCACATATGAGTTGGCAGGGATTTTTGCAGATAGCTGCTTGGTTTTATTCTTGGATGCTATTTGGAAAAGATCAAGGGAAGGCAGCTTTTTGCGTTATGATCTGGGATACATTTGAGCTTGTGGAACCCAAGGAAATGAACTGAGTTCTCTGTAGCATAAGTTCCAGGTGGGTATAGGTGACGGGATTTAGGAGGTAGTCAATGATTTATTTGGGGAAGTTATTATGTCATTGTCTTTAAATGAGGTGGTTCATTTGCTCTCCCCTAAAATAATTCTCTTGACTTGGCTACATGTGATGACTTTTGCACTGTCTATCACTTTCTCATTGTGAGGAAGATTGTTGAAAAGGAGGAAGATATTAGTTATATAGGATCCTAGAGGAAGTGGATTATCTATATCCTTTTCAGACGAGGTCTAGGCTCAGGATTGTAATAGAAACAGACTGGATTGCTCTACAATATAATTTCTGGGACCTGGAAGGGGAGAATGCAGCTCTCATAATCCTAGTAAACCTTTCATTGGCTTTTGGTGCCATCATGTTATCCTTCTGGATTACCTAAGAGTTGGGAGTAAGAGGTGTCATTCTAAAGTAATTCTTCAATGGCTTACCTTATGTCCTGCCCCTGCAAGTACGTAGGCTGCACTAAGTCCGGCCATCCCTGCACCTACAACCACAACATGTTTTGGATTTGATGTCGGTTTCAGACCATTTTTGGCGATCTCTAGAAATTCTTCATAATCAGGTTCTCGGAAGCATTCTTCTAGGGGGCTTCTGTCATCTGCACAGCTTCCCAAGGCAGCCAAGAACAGCAGTGAGAAAACAACTGGATAAAACACATACAAAAATGGAATATGTATGAGGGTGGCATTTTCCTGGCTTTTCTTATTCTGGATTTATTGCCTCTTGCTCTGTTCATTTGTCCCATTCTTTTCTTTGTGTCATTGAACCAACTTCTAACCAGACTTCCTGAGGTCTCCTGCACTACATCTAAACTGCAATAAAACAAGCAACAATGGACGCATAGTCATTCCTTCTACTTCTCTGGTCACCCAAAGGATCTCATAACAAATATGTCCTCTTCAAACTTAACATCTTCTTTTCTTGGCAGCAATGTGAAAGGGGCAGTGGTGAAATTCAATTTTCTTTTATACTGGTTCTGTGGGCGTGGCTTGGTGGACGTGGCAGGGGAAGGATACTGCAAAATTCCCTCTCCACTCGTGGGGGAAGAATACTGCAAAATCTCCACTCCCTCCCCACTCCAGAGGAAGGATACTGCATAATCTCTATTCCCATCCCACTCCAGGGGAAGGATACTGCAAAATCTCCATTCCCATCCCACTCCTGGGGATGGATACTGCAAAATCTCCATTCCCATCCCACTCCAGAGGAAGGATACTGCATAATCTCCATTTCCCTCCTCACTCCAGGGGAAGGGTACCGCAAAATCTCCATTCCCATCCCACACCAGGGGAAGGATACTGCAAAATCTCCATTCCCATCCCACTCCAGAGGAAGGCTATTGCAAAATCTCCATTTCCCTCCCCACTCCTGAGGAAGGATGTTGCAAAATCTCCATTTCCCTCCCCACTCCTGAGGAAGGATATTGCAAAATCTCCATTCCCACCTGACTTTGGGGCTAGCCAGAGGTGGTATTTGCCAGTTCTCCAAACTACTCAAAATTTATGCTAGTGTTTCTCCAGAACCTGTCAGAACTTTCTGAATTTCACCCCTGGAAAGGGGTTATAAACTGGCAGGGTTTTTGCTTTCCAATGAAGTCCACTAACCAAGGATTTTCTTGGCGGACTTCTATTCAAATTCTTTCTTGCTTAGTTTTTTTTAAGATAATCCGTTCAAGTAGCTGCTATAATACTTAAAAAGAAATGGGTTGGATGGGGTAGAATCAAAATCATGTGAAGTGTTAATAACACTTTATAATGCCTTGGTTTATAATGCAAGTGGGTAAGACCCCACTTGGAATATTGCATCCAGTTTTAGTTGCCACAAGATAAAAAGGATGTTGGGACTCTAGTAAGAGTGCAGAGAAAAGCAACAAAGATGATAAGCAGACTGGAGGCCTAAACATATGAAGAACGGGTGCAGGAATTGGATTTGTCTAGTTTAATGAAAATAAAGACTAGGGGTGATACTATAGCAGTATTCCAATATTCAAAGAGCTGCCAAAAAGAAGAGGGGGGGGGAGTTCAATATATTCTCCAAAGCACCCAGAGGCAGGACAAGAAACAATGGGTGGAAACTAATCAAGAAGAGAACCAACGTAGAACTAAAGAGAAATTTCCTGACAGAATAATTAATCTGTGGAACAGCTTGCCTTCAAAAATTGTGGGTGCTCCAAGATTGGAGGTTTTTAAAAAGAGTTTGGACAACCATTTGCTTTGGGATGTCATANAAATGAGGACCCAGACTGTGGGGGCGATATGCTGACTCTGTAAATCGCCTAGAGAGGGCTGAAAGCCCTATGAAGCGGTATATAAGTCTAACTGCTATTGCTATTAAACTAGTTATATTCCATCTCATTCATTAAATATAACATGGCCAACCTCTCCATTACACCAAATCCTTTACAAACTGTAGTCCAAGTGTCTCAGTCCAGGCAGAATGCTTGTTCAGCCAGTTTAGAGTTAAGCCAGCATGAGCAAAGAAAAGTTAAACATATACTGTAATTAATGTATGTCCTAAGACCGTGATGGCGAACCTATGGCGTGCTCAAAGTGACAACAAAGCCATGTCACCCAGCATGCATGGCCTTGCCTATTTGTCTTCTGGGTTTCTGGCGCGCATGCACGCACTATGATCAGCTGTTCTTTGTACGCATGGCACTGCTGAAAACCGGGGTGTGCATGCATGCCGGCCAGCTGATTGTCGGGTGCACATGCACGCCAGAACCCAGAAATTTGTCTTTTCTGGAATGTGATCCCTTCATGCGTGGCAGTGCCAAAATGGGGTGTGCGTATGCATGCCAGCCAGTTGATTGTTGGGCACGCATGCGCATTAGAACCCAGAAGTTCAGCATTTTCAGAGTGCAGCCCTGACAAGTGCATGTGTGCATGCAGGATGTTTCCATGCAACCTTTTTGGCACTTGGTGCCAAAAAGGCTTGCCATCTCTGTCCTAAGATGAAAATCTGGTACTTCTGTGATGCCCTTAATGCCTTTTTTTGGTTGTGGTTTACTACATTTGTCATCAACAGTGATGCTTTATGGCAAGCATGTTGTAATCAGTTCAATTAGTATTCGGGTTGATTTGGGGAGTGTCAAGTTCTCAATCACTACTTCAAGAACTAACTTCAGATAGATCCAACAGGCATTATCTCTGACTGTGTATGACTTAGGTTTGGATATTTTTTAAGAAGGCCGTTGCACGGCTTTAAGGGAGACACAGTCACTTGCCATCAATCCTGCATGACAAAGAGCCCCCTCCAACCTGGGTTTTATTACAGGTGTGCTGAGTGTGCAAAATGAAAACCCCATAAAAACAGTCAGATCTTGAAATGACATCATTGTTATTGACTACCATCTTGCTCTTTGGATCACAATCCGTTTTAGTATTTGAAACTCTCAGGCTCAGTTAGTAATTTGTCTCATATTCTAATAATACTGTAAGAGGAACATATTAATACACCTTAAAGATTGCTCCCCTCCGCAAATCCCCCACCCCCAAACTGTACTGTTTGGAGACATGGTTTCAGGCACAATCCAAATACCTTCGTTGAGTAGGTGTCATATTTATTTAGTATGTAGCTGCAGTTAGTCCTTTTCAAATCTTCTATAACCTGAGAATGATTTGGAAAGGAGAAAGGAGACGTAGGAGAAAGGAAGTAGTTAGTTAAAAATGTATTACATCAAACAAAAGGAAAAAAAAAAAACATACCGTACCTAAAAAGAACCAATGCAGAATCAATATTGATGGATTATTATACTGTCCATGTTAGAACTAGGTTTATAATAAATGGGAAAAATTATTAAAGTCAGTATGGTATAATAAAACTAGAGCACTATAATGAAACTATGGCATTCCCACATATACAGCCAAAAGTATGGATCCAATATGAAGATAACAGCTTTGTCATAATAAAAAAAGGACAAGTAGAGAATGCACATGAAACAATCAACAGCATATTTCAAGGAATAAAATTCACACGGAGAAAAACCAAAAACATTCTACCCTTCCTAGATATCCTCAACAGCACAGGAAATGATGGCAAATTAGAAACACAAGTCTATTGAAAAACAACTAATACTAAACAAGTGATTCATTATTACAGTAACAATCTAACCTCACATAAGAAAATGATACCATACACCAATAATATCTCAGAACAATAATCACATAACATTGCAACAGCACACAAGCCAACTAAAATCCTAAATAAAACAAAAGATCCACTAATCTAAGAATAAAAAACAGGCATCATCTACAATATACATTGGAAGGACCGTTACCAATTTGTAGGATATACAGGCAGGAGACTAGCAAATCACATGCATGAATACCAACTAGCAGTCAGAAGACACAACAAAAACTCTTTAATCTCACAACACATAGACTGACCAGTCATATTTTCAACTAGGAAACTAGTATGAGCATCCTCGACTAAATCCAAGGGAAATCCTAGGGAATTCTTGGAAGATTGGCATTCTACAAATCAGCCATCAATAGATACATAGACTTGTAAATCACATTTACACGCAAATAACAAAGCTGAAAAGGAAATAAAAAAGACCAGAACATATCGTCTCCAGCAACCAACACCCAGATAAGCAAGTGTTCACACCAGACAAATAATCAAGCAGAAAAAAAAACCTAATCAAAGAGAAAACCACAGTTTCGCCAACACTGACAGGACACAGTACACTATATAAACAGGGAGCAAATCACACGCTCATTAGCACTAATGGTATTACTAGTTAGGTAATGATATAAGCAAAAAAACCAAGCTTAGAAAACACTGAAGATTCCCACATAGCTATTATAGGTAGTCCTTAGTTAACAATTTCACTGTTTAGTGACTATTCAAACTTACGGTGAAAGTTTGAATGGTCACTAAAATGCTGAAAAAGGTTTGCAATAGGTCCTTACACTGGCCACAGCATCCTTGCAGTCCCATGACCATGATTTCGGTATTTGGCAACCAGTGCACATTTATGACAGTTACAGCACATAAGCCAATGCATACAGGTGAGAAATCCAAACTTATTCCATTCTTTCCATATTTATGTAATATGAGAAGGAGAAGGAAGCTTATGCAATTCGATGGGCCCTGCTGACCTGGAGATATTTCCTCGAGGATGGTCCTGTGCCTTTTGAAGTATGGACCAATCACAACAACTTAGAGGCACTAAAGAGGTCAGGTGGGCACAGGACTTAAAGTGATTCAATTTTGAACTAAAGTACATCCCTTTAGCTGATGCGCTGTCGTGGAAACCACAATACCACAGCAAACGGGAAGAGGTGGTTCACACACTGATATCCTCAATCAGCATCACAAGTGCTGACCCGAGGCCAGGCCACCTGAAGGAGAGCCACGGAGTGGGTGGGATGACCCAAAAGCTGGAAGATGAATTACCAGAGGACCCATGGCACAAGGACAACACAGGAATACTAACCCTTAAGGATAGACTCATTAAGATACTTGTTTTTTTCTCCAATGTATCAAATTGAAACCCATTCAAAAAATGGGTTAATCTAAGTTGGTTGAGAGCTGTGCAAATACTACTGATGTCTGATTGGATAACTTTATCCATGTCCCATGTCATTTAATTTGCTGAGACTACAAATAGCAGATTGTATTGGCGTTGACTGGCTGACCCCCTAACCTTTCTCTGTGAGTCTTGGAGATTGGTATGGCCAGCAGTTGCAGGAATATTCTGATCAGCAAAGGGAGATGAGTCTAGGTCTGTGATGGCGAACCTATGGCACACAGGCCACAGGTGGCACACGGGGACATATCTGCCGGCACACGAGCTGTCAGCTCCAGCACGCATGCATGTACTGGCCAGCTAATTTTTGGCCTTCTGGAAGACCAGGGGAGGCCGTTTTCACTCTCCCCAGGATTCAGGAAAGCCTCCAGAGCCTGGGAGGGCGGAAAATGGGCCCAATGTGCTAACCGGAAGTTCAGAAACGATCCGTTTCCGGCTTCCAGAGGCCGTTTTCACTCTCCCCAGGATTCAGGAAAACTCCGTTCCGAACTTCTAGTAGGCCCGTTGGACTCGTTTTTTGCCCTCCCCAGGCTCCGGAGGCTTTCTGAAGCCTGGGGAGAGTGAAAACGCCCCTCCTCCAGAGGAAATACCAAGTTCAGTTTGAAGGCAAGCAGTGCGGCACATGGGGAAGTGGGGGGGGGAGTTGGGCAGGCATTCGCATGAGAGGGCTCGCTTTGCATTACGGGTGCTGGCACACGCCCTCGCATTTTTGGCATCCAACAACAAAAATGTTAGCCATCACTGGTCTAGGAGTTGCTGTTTTAGTTGCTTCCAATTGCAATTAAATATTGCTCAGGATGTATTTAAGCCTTCAAAGGGTATGTGTGGTTATCTTTTCAAGAGACACCCAAGGCTAATGTTGAAAATCAGGTGGAGTCTGATACCATCATTTCAGACTAACATTTTATTAAAAGGCATAAATCCATCAGATGCATGGAGCTAGATCAGAGTTTCCCAACTTTTACAACCTTAAGAGGTGTAGAAATCCCAGGTGCTAAGGCCTCAGCTTCTGAATGCCATTTTTCTTAGTCCCGCATTTGAAAGCTGGTTTTAGGGATTACTCTGAAATAAAATGGTTTATTTCTAAGCAAGGACCTTTCAGAGCTTTCCTGAGCAAGATTTATTAAAAGAATGCAGGATTGATACATGCATCCTAGCAAGTGTAGCATTTTTTAAAAATAAGAACCCATTTATTATTATTTTATTAGTAGTCATTTTATTTATTATCCTATTTATATACCACCTTTATTTTTGTACGGTTCAAGGCAATGTATTTAATACTCCCTCCTATTTTCCCACAACAACCTTGTGAAATGGGTTGGATTGAGAGAGAGGGGCTGGGCTGAAATCAAGCAGATGGGCTATTCCTTCCTTGATTTTAGTTTATGCCTTTTAAGTGAAATAAACAGCCCAGAATAATTATTTCCTAGCAATTAAGCTAGAGAAGGCAAAACAAGACCAGATAAACTTCAGCAAAGAGGAAACAATAGCATAACCAAGGAATACAGCTCGTCTGTCTGGAATCTGCACTGTATATCGGACATTAACACAAGTGAACGAGTCCAAAGGTATTTCACGGGAAGAATACTCCACTCTTCTACTCGCAGCAGAATACCGTACTTTTCGGAGTATAAAATACACTTTTTTTTCCTCAAAAAAAGAGGCTGAAAATCTGGGTGCGTCTTATACACTGAATACAGCATTTTTTTGCTTCCCGAAGCCCCGCCTAGCCTTATGGATGCTTTCAGAGAACCCCTGGAGGCTGGGGAGGGCAGAAATGAACAAAAATGGGTCGTTTTTTGTCCCCCCAGCCCCAGCAGCATTCTATAAGCCTCCATAAGGCGATGCATAATTTTTTTTTTACGAAAAACGGGCCCGTTTTCACAAGAAACAGGCTCTTTTTTATGCTCTTTTTGCCTCCCCCNTAACATTTTCTAATGGTGGTGTGCCTCGTGATTTTTTTCATGAAAAAAGTGTGCCTTTGCACAAAAAAGGTTGAAAAACACTGGACTAGAAGACTGCCAAGGTCCCTTCCAATTCTATTATTCTGTTATATCTGGAGGTTTTTTTGATTGGCTCAGTCTCATGCTGGTACACACTTGGGCGATTTCTGATTGGCTAGGTCTCATGATGTGCCATTTAGTGTATAATCTTTGAAAGTTGATTTGTGGGAGAATCCTGATTCCTAGATTCCTGCAAAGATTACAAAATTCAAAACATCATTCTATTCAATTTATTTCTTGCCAAGTGGATATTGGGCTACTCTGACACTCCTCCAGCACTATTGTTCAAATTGCCTATGTATTGATACTAATTGATTTTGAACACAACTATTTTCTAGCTCTATGCTACCAATTTTAAGGCGTGGTAGTCAGAATGGTAATATATCGTGTGTTTTCTTCATAGATATGTCCAAAAGTATTCTTATTCTGTCAGTTATATTTTAAATTCTTCTCCTAACAAATCCCATACATTAAATTCACCCGGGCTGATATTTTCATTGGCTGTTAATCAATATCCCTTTTCTGGTTCAACAAAGTTGGGAATATTTGTCTTAAAAAAATGTCCTTACACTGAACACTTACTGACATCTCTCAGAAAAGATTCAAAGGCATCTGGATTTTAGCAGACCACATTTATTTATTTAAAGCACTGATAGGGATGGTTGTCCACCTCAGAAAGCGTCAAACATTATACACAAAAGAAAACAACAGATATCAAAAACTGAAATGATTAAATGTAGATTGGGACTGAAATATACTACAGGTAATCCTTGTCAAAGTTATGATAGACAGCAAAAAAAGGGACTTATGAGCTGGATTCAAAGTTTCAACTTCTGCCTATTCCCATGCTTACATGCCCACATTCTGGGCACTCGGCAACCAGCCTGCATTTAGGATCATTTGCAGTGACTGCAATTTATGATGGTTTTTTTTGGGGGGGGAAACTGGCATTTATTTCCGGTTTCTAGGGGGAAAAACAATGCATAGCAAACAATGAGTTTTCTTAATGACAGTGGCATTTGCTCAATGGCCACTGCAAAACAATCTCAAAAACCACGCTTTATGAATGTCACAATTTATGACCAAAATCGCCAGCTCAATTTCATTTGTAAGCTGAGGACCATCTATATATAGCTCCTGGAAATTGGAAATTCTGCTCATCCTGACCCAAAGGTCTGGGGAAACAGCAAAGTTTTGTTTGCCTTTTTGAAAGCCTGCAGGATTCTCAACCTATTGGCTGGGTATAAAAACAATGGCTCTGTTTTAATAAATTGCATCATTAAAGCAGCACAATTACTGATTCAGAACCTAGAACCAAGAAGAAATTTCCTGACAGTTATTTATTTTCATTTCATTTATTTATTTATTTATTTTGTCAAGCATGTGTAAGATAATAGATATGTATAAACAGGATTATGAATACAGGAAATGGATATGAATAAGTGGGGACAGTAGGACAGGGACGGAAGGCACGTTGGTGTGCTTATGCATGCCCCTTATGGACCTCTTAGGAATGGGGTGAAGTCAGTGGTGGGTTTCAAATTTTTTTAGAACCTCTTCTGTAGGTGTGGCCTGCTTTGTGGGAGTGGCTTGCCAGTCATGTGACTGGGTGGACGTGGCCAACTTGTAAAATGTGGTGAAACTCACTTAATGCTCTTGCTTAGCAACCAAAATGTCGGCTCAGAAACTCTGGCATTGAAGCATGCAAGTCTTAAAGCTGTCAAGTTACAAGACCCTTGCACCCCTAACCCTTTAGAAAAAAAAAACCCAGGGGTGTTCAAACTTGACAGCTTTAAGACTTGTGGACTTCAACTCCCAGAATTCCTCCTCTCGCTCTTCATCTTGATGATGTGTGGATGGGCGGGGGGAGGGAGATGGAACCGGTTCAAAAAAGACACATTTGTGGAACCTCTTCTATAGAAGAGGTTAGAACTGGCAGGAACCCACCCCTGGGTGAGGTCCACAGTAGACAGTTTGAGGTTGAAGCTGTGGAAGTTTGAGGATGTAACAACGGAATTAGGTAGAGCATTCCAGGCGTTGGCCACTCTGTTGTTGAAGTTGTATTTTCTGCAATCGAGTTTGGAACAGTTTGCCTTAAGTTTGTATCTATTCAGTGGTGGGTTCCTACCAGTTCGGACCGGTTTGACCGAAGCAGTAATGGTTTGGTGGCCTGGGTCACTGGAACTTGCAGTGACCCAGGCTGCCACGCCCCCGAACCAGTTCTCCATGCGGCACCAAAGGTGCCACTATCTTGTTTTTTGCTTCTGCAGATGTGCAGAACAATTTTTATTGCATTGCACATGCACACGCAGCATGCCCACGAGCGAACCGGCAGTAGTGTCTGCTGGAACCCACTCCTCTATCTATTGTGTGCTCGTGTATTGTTGCAGTTGAAGCTGAAGTAGTCATTG